AGTTTTTTTTTTTTTTTTTTTTTGTATATAGAAATTGTTATAAAAATTCCAAACATGATAAATACTATTCCAAAAATTGGCATAGACCTACACAATATCATTTGGAAATAAAACATACAATGCAATTAAATGCTAGAACAAATTACAGTTGTCCCTTGATAGTCCAACATTTTGTAATCCAACATGCTCAGTAGTCCAACACACCTCTCGTCAAGGTCACCGCAGTCCCCGTCCCTGTTACGTGTCTAGTTGCATAGAAGCATGTCATGACATGAATTCATCCACCCAATTCTTACACGATGACACACATTTCGTGTGTTTTCCATGAGCAGTTCTGTTCGAACAATTGGAGTAGGGAATATTGTAGGCTACTGCTAGCAAAACAATGCCAAATATGTAATCACTTTCAGTAATCTGACACCCCTTTGGTCCCATACCTGGATTGTCAAGGGACAACTGTATACATCTTTCAATTTAAATGAAAGATATATATTTAGAATGAAAGATATATATTTTTAATTTTAAATGTTTTGTCAAATACAGTAATATCTATGAAACAATCTACTGTCAATATTAGCAATAAAATAATATAGTAATTTATTTTAATTTCTTTGATAATAGTTATATTATCAACAGCATTTCTTTTATTTAGTCCATTGAATTTGTTTACTTTTTGTTTTAGGGTCACCAAAAGAAGTAGTTTATGTGGTCTTTTTAGCTTTACTTAGTAACTTTTGATGTGGGGGTTTTTTTTGTGTTAAATATTACACAGCAGTTGATTGGCATTAAAATGTCAATAAATTATTGTGTAATGTTTGAAACTTTAAACAAATGTATAACAAACAATCATTAACTTACTTTAAGTAATGTAATTATTATAAAATAAAATAAAACTATCTGAAATATATTGAGTTAACTACAGTATTATGTTATGCAATAACAATATTTTAACATTTTGCATTCATTGTTTTCAAAAATAATTTTCAATTTTATAAAGTAAAAATAATATAAAGATAAGACAAAACACTAATCATTTTTATTTTTTCCTATTTTATTAACTCTTTCTAAGAAGGTATTTTTTTCAATGACCTTCAAGGGTTTAGTCAGGTCCACAATGGGAATGGCAGAGTGGTGAGTAGAGGATTTGATCCCGGGATCTCGAAAATCGGGATCCCGACTACTTTTCAGTCCCAAAATTTTCGGGATTAAGTTTTCCTAATCCCGAGATTTTCGGGATTGACATCATTTTAAAAAAGTTGCAAAATAGACTGCATGAAGCGAAACGTTCAGTGCCAGTGCTTTTAACAGAATTGCTTGCCTATCATTTTAATATAAAATACAAGAAATTTTATTCCAAGCAAGCAGCAGAAATTAACCTAGCGGGCTTGCGATGCTTGCTTGGAATAAAACTTCTTGTATTTTCAACTAAAATGATAGGCAAGCAGTTCTCACTGGGTTACTTGGTAATATACTTCATTTTTGTATTTTTGAATTTTCGCGGGCGCCAATCGATTTTCTGGCGCAGTCGAGAGCACTACTCAGTGCGTTTTACCTGTCAATGTGTCAGCCATCTTGTTTTGCCAGTGTGGTTAATATAGACCCGACGCCTCTCGCTTAGGGGGGTCGACCTTAGGTGAAAAGGTTACGACCCCCGCCTTGCCCGTGATCTGTCAGGATGATGCGAGAAAGTCTTTTTACGTTTGGGAGTAGTGGTTTGCTGGATGCTGAGAGACTCACACAGAGACCGAATTTACAAAATTAACGTGTTTATTTTTAGAAAGGCATGCTTACAATGATCGAAACAATCGGGATTGTAGCCTTTACTCCTACAATCCCGATCTGTGTCGACCGGACTGTTTTCTTCCAACCTCCCCGTGTCCTCGAAGCTATAACTAGAACGGGCTTATAAGTATTTACTAACGATTCCTCCAACTTCCATCAAACCTAAACGCGTTTTCTCAGCAGCTGCATATATGTGCAACAAATTGAGAAGCAGACTTGGTGATGAGACACAGGATGCGTTGTTATTTCTCAGATCATATTTTCGCAATTCAAATTAGAATGTTCCTATTAGATTAGTTTTCTTTATATTTAAGAAAAATGTGACTGATTAATATTATTTTTAAATACTTTTTGCTAAGAAACTTATCTTACTACCTACTTACTAGGTTGCTATATGAAAGTAGTCTATTTAGTCGATGTTAAGAGAGATTTTTGTTAATTTTCAACGTTTATTTGCATAGTTTGTTACATAAAGGTTTTTTCAATTTATGTGAGTTTAAAGAGATCTCAGTGATGCTTAAAAAAGAATAAATTTAACATGAAGACTGAGTGATTTTAAGTCTGGTTAGTCTGACTCTGAGTCTGATTAGTTAGAGTGATTAAATTAGCTAGGTGTATACTGTAAAATATGTTGATTTTTGTCTAAATTTTGATTTGTTGATTTCTGTAAGATTTTCTTATTTTTTATTAACCCTCAATACCGAAATAATCCCGGGATCCCGGGATTGACTAAGTATAATCCCAAAATCCCGGGATTAGAAATAAGGACCGGGATCGAATTCCCTAGTGGTGAGGGATGGGTCTCAACCTATCTGTGACAGACTGCTCATGAAAAATTCCTTAGTTTTCCAATCTGGACTCAAAACTGGATCCTTCAGAGTAGCAAATTAAACAAAATAACAGTTCTTAGTTTATTTAATATTAGTAATACTTTATTTTTTCATGTAATAAACATAAGAAAATCATAATATATGCTAAAAAAAAAATTCAAGGATTCATTGATTTATTGTAAACAATGTATTTGTTGAAATCAGAGGCGTA